GATGCATTCTTGTATAACAAAACTTGACCACAACTGTTTCAAAACTCCAAACACATCTAGTATGGTTATGGCACTAACAGATGGCCTTTTTCTATTCACAGTAATAAAAGCTCAATATTTACCTTCTTATGAAAGTCTTACATTTTCTGTAAAACATACATTTTTTTGTTTTTTAACTAAAACACAACATTACTATGCAGTACGATGCATTCTTGTATAACAAAACTTGACTGCAACTGTTTCAAAACTCCAAACACAACCAGTGTGTTTATGGCACTAACAGATGGCCTGTTTCCATTCACAGTAATAAAAGGTCAACGTTTACCTTCTTTTGAAAGTCTCTCGTTTCAATGCGTCTATGCGATTTTTCACATAGAATTTCACCCCATGCCATGTCCTGTCCTTGAGGGCCACTGGTGAGGCTTCAATGCACTTCATACACTGGGCTTTCCCAGGAACCTTTCCAGAGTCAATACAGRCCATGAGCGTTTGCTCCACTGCCTGGATTTCTTCTTGGCTCCATTTCACTCTCRTTTGTGATGGCCCTGAAAAATGATTAGAAGCACATAAGTGTTCTTCAATGAAAAAAGGTTTTAATGTTTGTGACAGAGCAAGTTATAAAAGCTACCATGGAAACATTTCTTCACCACATTAGTAGTAGACTGCCGCAAAAATATTTTACAGTGGCAGTGGGTGTATGACTATTGAAGCTGGTAATGAATGAACCCATAAGTTTCCCCAGGGGTTTTAACAGCATCAGCAGTACAGGAGAGTAGTACTTGTGCAAAGTATGTCACGAGAATAAATGATTAAGGCCAGGGGGTTGTTCAAAAAGTAAAAAAAACAACAACACAATTGCTTAATATAGTAGACATTTCCAAAGAATTTCACTAAAAGGAGGGTTTTTGAGTGTTTTGATGGTAGCTAGAGACTCGGTGAACCTAAGTGGGGCCCTCTAACGGATGGAACACAAATCTTTCTTTGTTTTTCCCTTTTGAGTCCAGCCTGGGAAAACTCAGAAGGGCCTGATAGGTTTTTCCTAACACCAGGGGTTGACTAGCCTGGTTAAAACCAGTCCCTTGTCCTTCACTTTGCTTCGTACGAGGGTTTGGACTCTCAGCTATAGAGAAGTGATTCTTGCTGGAGGTGTGGCCTCTGTTGAAGTTTAAAATAATTGGATCAGTTGGCCGCGACGTATGTGTGCCAGCTCCACTGTGAAGGAGACTAAGCTAAGAAGCTAAGGGGAAATTGTGGGTGCTGTAAACAACCCTACTGAAAGGAGAAAAGTACCAAGCTGAACAAGACTGTAAATGAGAGCTGCTGCTTTGTCAGACAAATTTAATTTAATTTGGAAGCCTTATCAACACAGACTAGCTTCATTCACTTCCTCCACTGCCATTGCTAAACCAACTAGCAGACACTGTGCAGGAAGTCAACATTGTTCAAAACTCTGCCTTCTGTTTGCTGATAGGCTTTGACAAATTCTCCTGAAGCAATCCTTGTGTATAGGAGAAATCCCAGACAGCGCAGTGAAGGTAAACTAGAATTGAGAGGAACTGTGTAGGATGGCAAGGGTCAGGCTAGGGGTTGACACAACCATTGTTTAGGTTATCCGAGACAATCTATTTTTTTTTTTCGGACAAACCAATCTTGCTTTCCAGTTGTCCACTCTATAATCAAGAAAAAAAGACTAGATTAAAGTTTTCCACCACAGGTTTTTATCATTGTAAAAATGAATGGGAGAAAAAAAACTTGTCAAAGCCGTCTAGGGATGAAACTGATGGTTCTTTCACACAATAAAACGAACCACAGTCAAAGTTTTACCCAATCAAAACAGCAAGGTGGGTCATGTGAGTGGTCAGTTTCACTCAACACTGGTGAACACCTCCTGGGAAAGCCCTCGGTGTTTCCTGGACTATTTTCCACCTAGGCCTACATGACAGTATCCTTAAAACCTGCTTGATCTCTTTACAGCCTGACCCTGACCCCAACACTAAGGTTAACTAGGAGAAATGTGACCCAAGTAGGGTTCTCCAGAAAAAGTGGTGCCGTACAGTAATGCCCCTTTTGTTCTTGTCCAATGAGGTGGTGCCGTACGGTAGCGRCCCTGTTTTGCTTGTCCAGTCAGGTGTGTCCCTTTAACAAAGTCCGTCAAATCAGGTGTGTCACTTTAGAATCGCCTTTCCTTGTGACATGCCCAGTCATTCGCACTCGTCCGCAGAGACCCCTACTTGTGACTGAGGGGCAGCAACTGCTGCACAGCGCAGCTCTGACCAGCCCAGGACTTAAGGGTCCATACACGTCAACCCCTTCAGATGTTGACCTGATGAGCATCAAAAATCAATAAATATCACAAAAATCCATGTTAATCATGGGGGGGCTTCTAACAAAACCATTTGACTTTGATTGTCTTCTAAAATTACTGAGTTCTTGGTCAACTTCAGGTGTTTGCAATTAATCATAAATATCTTTTAAATTTAACCAGATGTTTCAATGCCTTTAAATTACACAATAACTTTAGTGGGGAAACTTATTTGGTAAAAAAAACTGTAAAAATATATATACTTTTTCAGTGCAGAGAACTTCTTGTGCTATATTTTTTATAACAAAGCCCCTCAGTTGAAAACACTAAAATGATAGAAGAGCTGTTTAAAAACTGACTAAAACTGTTTAAAAGCTATTTTCAGAAAGTCTTCAGTCCTAAGAACAGTAAACTGTAACTTTTAATAAGGTCATGTACACAGTATACTCCTAATTAAATGAAAATGTTTGGCCTGTAAGCAGAAAGCTTATGGATGTTGGGTAACTTCTAGGTGTGGAAAAGTTTTAGTAGCAATATTTTTGGTTTCTATTTCAAAGAAGAGTATGAGAAGGAGAATGAGGAAGTTTTACTCAAGCAGCTCCTGAAACTGTTAACCTGACTGAGAACATTTGTATATAGTAAACTTTGTATATAGAACAATAAAGCCTACATATTAAATTACTTTTTTTTTTTTTTTACCAAAATGTTTTACGGACAACCAAAATGTTTTACAGACAACCAGATTTGTCAACAGGTTGTCCACTGGATAACCTGAAAAAATTCTTATGTCCACCCCTGAACATTATTGCTGGGTTGCAGATGACATAGTATCGACGTCATGAAATGCAGATGGGGGGCAGGAAGTAAATAGCTCTGTTTGCTTCTGTTGATTCAGTTTCAAAATGCCTAAATTTTGTGCCATGTACAGTTGTTGCAACCGCTCTAATCAGGAGAAATATAGTACGTTTTAATCGTGTTCTGAAAGTGTTCACAAAAGAATTAAAAAAAAGACGACAAATGTGAATCAATAATCTTCGGTTGAAAACAGGAGATGTGGAAATTAATAATGCAAGAGTTTGCAGCAACCACTTTCTAACAGGTAAAGATCATATAATTTAAATCATATTTTTAGATATTTTATTGGACAGTTAATCACATTTGAGTATATAAATATTGGCTAAATAAATTATTTACAATTATATTCAAGCACATAGAAATAACAGGAGTTAACTCGTTAGCGTTAACAATAGCATTATCATCATAGGCTAATTACTTAAAATAGTACAAGTCACTGTTCACCCAGGCAGAAACAAGTCGACAGCCATTTAAAGCTTCTTTGGATCCTAAATGTTTGACCCAACCTGAAACTAAATAATTGTAGCTTTGAGGCTTTTGAAAGCTTTCATCTGAATCATCATATAATATGGGGTCTGCAGCACCAGATAGTTTGTCGATTGCCTCGATGCCAGGTAAAAACTCCAGAATATGACAAGTCTTTTTTATTAAGACAATATGGATCAGATCCTAAATGTACACATAATTTTTTCACGATATCTCGTCTGCACCAGCCGATTTAGTGCATTAGCATACTTGCTGTGATCCATTTTACAGTGTTTTGAACCTGAGCAAATCACTTACTTTCCCCCCATCTGACATTCACACGTCACCCAGGTCACGTGACTGCAACCCAGAAATTGAAAAAAGGGGTTTAGGAAATATAGGTACAGCTAAAGAGAAWTATTAAGCTAATCATCCAAACTACTTTTGATTATGCTAGTTAGTTTTTTATTCCAAGACAGTTCAAGGTGACATTAGTGAAGAAGAAGGGGGAGAAGAACTAAAATCAAACTATTGCTTGAGAGTATGCTYTCGAATGAAAATAATAGGATATTCTAAAATTAAGTGTAGAGACATTATTTGGTCCTTACCAGGCAGCAAAACAAGGAAAACTCAGATTAACAGTGTTCATTKATTTCCAATTTGCTTAGTTCAATAAAAAATAGGAAATATTAGAAATGGGTTTACACCTGTTAAGGTATTAAAGTGACAGTAAACACTTGTAAAAATAAGTAAAAGTTCACGTGTTTTCAAACCTGGCTTGAAGAATGAAAACTCAGTTAAGATATTGGACCTGATGGGTATTATTTTTTTATAACAATTAGAAGTCAAGTAAATTWTTCAGTTAGAAAGATGTCTGTCTGTCAACATTTTTAAAGCTTCTGCCCATTTATAATCTCAGAGTAGGAAGATAAACTACCTGTAGTTGTGCTGGAGTTGACAGAGACTTCCATGGCCACTGGTAGCTTGTCATCTGATCTCTCTATTAAAAGAAACAAAACTCAGAATATATGCAACTTTAAGAACATCYTCAGGTACAGAGTAAATTAAAAACCTATATAAAATCATAGAAGCCAAAAATAACATACATAAAGAAGAGTAATGATTCAGGGCAGTGGACTCTAAAGGTCTGATTATTTTTCAGAAATTTGCATTCTCATTTTATTTCCACTTACAAATATTCTTACCTTTGGCTGAAGGCAGATCTTTGTTTTGTTCAACTTCAGTGGTYTATCTCCTGGTCACCCTAGACTGACCTAAATAAAGCAGGTCTAATAAGTAAATAAGCATTCAACAGTGTAAGCTGTCAGTGTGTTTGCTTTATACAAGTATGTTAAAGTGTATCTTTAAGGTTCTTTCACATTGCAGAAAAACATCATCTGAGGTGAACCTGTAAATATGGTTGCTGTACTGGGTCTCTAAATACCTAGCAAGTGTTTTTATAGTCTTAAATATAAGAAAAAAAACTCTGCTTAGAAAAAACATGTGGTTTTGGAGTCACGTGACGCCTGACGTAATTGGAGGAGAATGGAACCAAATGGCTGCTGTCTGACTGCTGAGCTCAAGGAGGTTTTGTTCGTTCAACTGTGGCTAAAACTTATGTGTGGCTGTTCAGGCTTCAACTGGTCTTAATATGGTGCCCAACGATTTTCAGTGAAGAAAATTTAAAAAAGTCTTTGGTGTGATTTGTCCCGCTGAGAAGGCAAAATTTCCCTACCAACGTTGTCAACTAACTCTGTAGTTTGTAGTTTGTCTGTGTCTCTTTCCTGTCCCTCAACCAGCAGGTCGAGGCAGATGGCCGCCTGTCCTGAGCCTGGTTCTGCTGGAGGTTTCTTCCTGATTAGCAGGGAGTTTTTCCTCTCTACCGTTTCCTCAGGATGGGAGACTG